TTTTCCTCTGAGAAAACCTTTGTCTTGTCGCTCTTTCTGCTGTACTCCATGGATACTAGTCTGGAGACCTGCTTGAGTGATTTTAGGGTATAGATGAGGGAAAGTTTTATATAATCTTCTGATTAAAACTCCATATTTTAGTAAGACCGTACATTGGACACATGACCTTCACAAGTGTGTGTCCACAGGTATAGCTTTTTCTTCCCCTCCATTGCTCCATATTGTCTACTCCAGGAGAAGCATTTCCAATAGATTTTCATGAGGCCTTGCCCCCTGACAATGTTTTTTATTTCACCATCTTATGAGACAGAAAGGCTACAGAGGCATGGGTGGGAGCGTTAGCATAGGTAGCTAGATATTAATACAGAAAGGGAGCAAAGGGAAAGACATTAAGATGCCTAATCTACTAGGAATCTGCAGCTTCACACACTCCCCAGGGGATTGTAGCACTGCCCAGTCAAGGGAATTAACACCCCTCTCTTCCCAGTGTAGGGAGGAAGGACCAGCTTTCCAGTCTTCCCAGAGAACTGGGAAGTACTGGACCAGAGTAACTGGTCCATTGGCCTAGACCGTGGGGGAAAGGAATACACAGCCAGAGAAATTCCTCTGCTGGACACATTCACAGTAGGAGCCAAGATGGCAAAGGAGCAGGTGCTTCTACTGTGAGGCATGCACAGTAACAGATAAGATGGTGATCTTAAAGGCCTGTCTGTCTAGTCTGGGAACAGAATCAGATTGGCTAAGGGACACAGAACCCTGAAGATCTAGGAAATGAATTGGTTAGGAGGAGAAACCAGCAGAAATCTGTGAAAGATTAAGTTGATTGATTAGTTTGAAAAAGTGCCTGGTCCTTCCCAAGCTCGAGATTCTCTCTCTCTCTTGGCAACATGTGCTCACCCTGTTTGTTCTCACACTCTCTCTCCATAGCAGCCATATGGCCCTAGCAACCACATGGCCAAGCAGCCCCATGGACTCCAAGTGCAGGCTCCAAGCCTGAGCCTGGGTACAGCAATGCAGCACCAGCCACAGTGCAGCCGAGAGCAGAAGCTAAGCCAGCCAGACAGGGACAGAAACATGGACTGAACCAGTGGCACGAAAAGTCTGGACATTGGCCCTGTTTCTGGGCCCGATGAAGACCAGGCTGAACTTCTCTCTCCACCGAACCTGGGGCAGTCCTTTGATTTTGCTCCCACAAGAAACCTCACCATTAAACGTTATCCTTCCATAGGTGGGTCCCTGGATTGCTCTCCCGTGCCAACTCCACGAAAAAGCTTCATTTCCACCAGCAATAGGAGGAATACTTTTCCCCCAACTGTGGTCAGGTTCTCACAAAAATTTTTTCTTCTTTTCCAAGACTGGGTCTTTGTTGTGGAGAAAACTTATTGTATTTCACAGTGTTTAATCTTCCTCCCCACCCGTTGGAGCCTTGAGGGACTCTCCAATTTTCACCCAGAGAACCGGATGGGGTTCACAAAGAAGAAGACTGAATGGGGCGGGGGGATGACCCTAACTATAGTAATCACCTTCTCGTACTTGTGCTCAACCGCACTGTTTTCAGATGCTCATCAAAATGACCACCTAGGTGTTCCTGCCAGCTTGTGGCTCCAGCAGCTTCTGCTCCAAGTAAGCAAGCCTGGGTTACCTCTCTCTGTATATAGACTCATTCCCTCCAGTTTTCAGGACCGAGATTTACCCTGCAACCTTCATTCTCTGCTGATTCCAAGTAATCAAAGTGTTTGATTTTTAGTGTGTCCAGGTTTATTGTATTATAATAAGAGGGTTGTGTTCAAACAAACTTTCATGGATAAAAGCTTTTCTGAAAGAAAGGATTTATTGTGCCAAATGCCAGCCGGAAAAGGACCAGGTCCTGGGGCAGGAGGTCTGAACCTTGAACAGCAGGGCTAGATGGAAAAGACAAACATATTCACAGTGTCCGGGGTTTGATGAGGGTCTTTTATACATACAGTTTGGCAAAGAATGATGCAAGTTGTTTTGGAAGAACTTACATTGGACAAAGGGGGTGGGAGAAGGTGAAGGAATCCTTGCTCTGGTATAGGGGCGTGGCCAAAGGAAGAAGTGTTTGCTGCTTTGGACTGGTGCTGGGCAAGAGTTTAGAACGTTCACACGTAAGCAGGAAGCAGAGGTCCCTGAGGACTGGGGGTGCTTGATGGTCAGCTACTCAGCTATTCTCTATAGCTAATCACAGAAATAACCACCAGAAAGTTAATTCAAATTTTCAACACACTTTCAGGAGTGTAAGCAGTCTTTGTTGGTTTTTCCCTGCAGTTATTAACTGATTAACCTCTCTTGTCTCTTCCTTCCACCCTCTTCTGGGCTGTAGCAACTTAATGTAGGACATCTCAGAATTCTCTCCCTGTCAGTGGACTTTCAAGCTCTTTATGCGCAGGAGTTAAAATCAAACGTCTCCTCTTATTAGGGTTTTAAATTACATGTTAGGGAAGGGAACTTTTATATTTTTAAGGAGGTGCTGTGTTGGGTCTGTGACTTCATTATTGCTGTTATTTATCCCTGTCCCTGTCTGTTGCTACCAATGGTGTGTAATTTCAATGAGGTTTGATTAGAAGAAGAGTATTTTAATTGCATATCTATCCCTGATATCGAACATGAAACTTAGTGCATGCTTGATAAATGAATGAACTAGATCCAGAGAAAGAAAAGTATTATTAAACTAAAACTCCTGACTTTTCTTGTCAGGAAAATGCAAATCTTTAGCATCAAAAAGCTTTCAGTGAGATACTGACTGGAGTACTAATAACAATGATGCAAATAGTTGCCCTTTCTGAGCATTTACTATGTGAAAATCATAGTACAAGTGTTGTAACACATTAACTCAATTAGTACTAACAAAACCCTCATCACACACTTGAGGAAAGTGAAGTCCAGAGAAGTTAATTGAACTGCCTTATATTTTACAGCCAGTTAAATAACAGAGCCAGATTTCAATCCCAGCTCTGACTTTCTTACAAACTCTGTCCTTAACCATTAACCTTTACAACAGTTTTTCTGCTACCAGTTGGTAGTGGTAAATGCATAATAATAAGCCACTGAAAGAATAATAATTGGACCAGCCGAAGACTTTATGACCAAAGAACTAGATTAGAATTAGGCTGTACCCTGTAACAGATCTGTAAAACTACAAAGTACGCTTCAACTTGTTGACTCTCAAAGTTTCATCAGGGGAAAAAAATAAAGAAAATAACACTTTTTATGTTCTTACTAGGGTTAAATGTAATTTCTTGCATTCAATTGGTGGCTGTTTTCTTTTCTTCTTTGCAGTGGCTTAAAGAAAATTGAACTCAGTGAGACTGTCTGACTTCTCTTTAAATATTTCATGTCCTTATTTTTTTCCCATGAACTTTGTTTAGTCTCTGGATTGAACAAACTCTATTGGGTTGGCTAAAGGATAAAGAAATTAAATTTTTTATGCTAAACCTATATTGATCCAATATCTTCATCAGCTAATCTGGAAGCAACTTCCTGGCCCTTGAGGCCCATAATTATGAGCCACAGGGTTTGTTCTTAATTAGAACATTGTGATCATAGAACCAGCTCTGACTGGCCCTGTTTATAACAAGATACTTAGTTGTGTTCCAGAGGCAACAGGACAAACCCACAAGTCCTGTAGCTGAAGCAAGTGCAGAGGAGAGAATTTCTACCTGCATCTGTACCCAGAGCCAAAGTCTGTCACCCGCCCCCCCCATGAAACCAAAGGACTGGAACATACTGGAAGCTGGATGCCAGAACCATTTCAGGATGATCCAGTGCTGAAGCCCCTCACCACATCTTACCATAAGTGGCCAAGTCTCAGAGCCATTCTCTGGGAACTGGCCCTGACAACCTTGAATGTCACCCTGGGTCAGGGATTGGAGCTCTGCCTTCGGTTTCCTTGCCAGTCAGCCTCACAATAAAGCTTCTTCTTTTCTGAAAAGCCAGTGGTATTGGCTTCCTATGTATGCATGTTGAACAGACAGCCCTTGGCAATAAAATCTTGATAACAGAATGTGGATATTCTTTCCTCATTGTGCAGAAAGGGTAAAGATTTTTAAGGAACTTTAATAAATAGGCAGGATAATTAATGCTAGCTTTTATAATAAACAGTTCCAAACCTTTAGGAACTTAACACAACAAAAGTTTTATTTCCTGCTCACAGTACGTCCAGCATGTCAGGTTAGCATAGGGACTTAGGGGAGGGGGCTCTGATCCATAGCATCGCTTAGAAACCGAGGGCTGACAGAGGGACTGTGCCCTTCAGTTATCTTCTGCACTTGGCACCAGGGACTGACCTGGGCACTCACAGCCATCCAGCTGCTGGGGAACGAGACAAAGCTGGGGCCATGCAGAATCTTCTCCTTTTATGGGTAAACCTGAGTAGGTCCATATTTAATCACAAGGCCTCAATTAACCACAGGCAAAGTTGGGAAATGTAGTTTTGCATGTGGCCAAAAGGAAAATGAAGCAGGTTTGGTAAACTCCTAGCATTGTCTGTATGTACCTCAAGAATCAAATGGGATAATCTCTATAAAACACCTTGCATTGCCTGGCACATAATAAAACTTCAAAAAATGGTTGCTATTACCACCACTCAGATTTTAATTTGCTAGAATATAACACACATTCATGGAATTCAGGTAATTACAGAATGGAACATTTTGTTCTGTGTCGACCCATTTGATTATAAGAACAGCAATGCCATATTACATTTGTATTACATTTTATTGTTTATGAAGCAGTTATACAGATATGAACTCATATTGTTTTCATTTGTTCTTCTCAGTATTCTATGAAATAGATAAATAATATTTCTATTTTAAATATGATAAAATGTGCTCAGAGAGTGGCATTATTGCCAAGATACTACAGCTAATAAGTGATAGAGACAGGATTCAAATCAGGAGTTTTATTTCTCTAAGGTCAAGGTTTATTTCATTAAACATGCTCCCCAAATCACTAAAATCTAAAACTGTTTTCTATTGTTGCAGGTTTGAATATGATGCCACCAAAATCTGGGCTGTCTGTAAGTTCCCAAGTTTGTCCTTTCTTGTGATCATGAAGTTCTTAATAGTACATTTCTTATTTCAAGAGAATGCAAAGTTCTAACAAAATTAACTGCTCATTTACCTTTCAAATCTGGGCTACTTTGAAAAGATCATGTCCAGAAAGGAAAAAAAAAAAAGAACATGAGAGGAACTGGGAACAGTGGTAACTAACTTGTGGTATACTGTGTATTTGTACGGAGTAGAATAAAAGATCAAGAAAAGACTTTGATATTGCATTTAAGTAATTTGAAGGTCTTCGGGAAGGGTGCAGTTCTGCCCTCCCCATAGTTACAATCAATTTTACATCCCAGATCTATGAATCATTTAGGAATGTGTTTTCCTCCTCTAAATCCCACTGCTTAGTACAGTGCCTGGCACGAACCAGAGACTCAGAAACTATTGGCAGATGGGCTGAGTTACTTCCAATGTATGGAATTTGTTGGACTTGGCCCACCTGCAAATGCCAGCTCCATGTAAAGAAGAGCAAAAGGTGCTTCATGTTAATGGGAAAGAGTAGCTTATGAGGCAGTGAGCTCTCCTCCGAAAGTAAGTAAATGCATGTCCATTATTCCTGCATGAAGTGGGGAATTGCTAATGAATTTGTATGACCCTTTCAACTATACGATTCTCTCAGCACTTGACACAAACAGTGTCATTTTATGAAAGACACATGGATGGCAACGTGGAGTGTGATCTTTCATGTACCCACACCTGAAGTGCTCAGTACAATATCCGACAAACTTCTCTTGAGGAAAGCAGATCTTCCATCAGATCTTCCCAGCCTGTCTTATTAGCTTACATTCTATCTTTGGGCTCCATTTCCTCTTTCTCACCATATATGGTCTCATTTCCCCCAGGAAGTTATCTAATTATTTTTTTATGTCTCAAGTGTTTCTCTATATATTTCTTGGTCTTAAAGTTATCTTCCGTTAGGTCTTCCCACATCAAAATGCTGTGTGACAAAATGATTTTACATTCAATTTTGAATTAATATTTTCTAATTTCTCATGTTCACACTCTCAGTACTCCTACTACTGCATTCTCACATAGATGAAAATAAAATTTTCTTTTGATATAGCTAAATCATTGCCAAATAACATGCACTTTCCCTGGCCACATATCACCATTAATAATAATCTACAGGGGTCCGATTGTAGTTATGTAACATTTTCCAAATAGCTTCCACATGTATTACTTCCTCTCAGTAGTCCTGTGAGTTTTAATAGCATTTTAATTAGTTCCATTTGACAGACAAGAAGACTGGAGCAGAGTGAGGTTAAACGACCAACCCAAAGTCACCTTGCTAATTACGGGAAATTGCAGGAATAGAATCCACTCATTATTTCTGTCCCTGTGCTTTCTCCAGACGCATGCCACTTTGCTTTCTTTTTATCTCCAGGCTACCTGGTGACATGACTTGTCTCTGCTTACTCTCTCGTAAAGATTTTCCTGTATTTTCTTTCCGCTGTCATCCTTTGAGTTGGGAAACATTACATATTGACAGCATAATGACAGGTGAATGGAAACACAGAGACAAACTTGACGCCCTGCATAAGAATCTGTGCATTTCTATTACAAAGCTTGGCTTTAGTGAAAACAGTTTTTCCGTCCTCACTAAATGGTGGGTGAAATTTCCAGCCTAGGGATCTGGACTACTGCCTCAGAGTGGTGGGAAGAGATAAAATGGGCAGGCCCTAGACAACGAAGGGCCCGTTGGGGAAGATGATCCTCAGATGTGCCCCACAGTTAGCTCTTACCTGTGTCCTGGACTTCTCAAGCTAACATAGGTACCTACCCTTAGTGTATAGCTGTAACTCAGGCTGTGTATCCTTAGAAGGATGCAAACACCTATACTGAAGAACAGGATCTAACCCCAAAATACACAGGTTCTTTAGTGTCCAGGGATGGCGCTGGTGATCAGACCACCAGCTGTAATATGTAATAAATAACACAGCTGACAAAAGGTTTGTTCTCAGTAAGACCCACTGCACTGTCCACGGAGCTGGTGGAACATCAGCCCTGCCCTTTGACCTGTGGTCTTGAATTCTATTCATTGATGAAACCACAACTAACTTCTCTACTGATTCTGTCCTGACACTTGCTTATAACGGTTCCTGAAATGTACAAATAAATTAAACCCTTTGTGATTCCACCAACTGTGACAAAACCATTAATTTAGTTTCTGATTCAAATCTTCTCTGTCTAGACATGCCCTTTGTTGTAAACTTGAGGTACTTTACACGCCACTTCAGACTCAATTTAAGCCTATCTCTTAATTGAGACATTTTCTCATTTGGAGAACAATCACCGGGTATCTAGGTATCTACTGTGAGTCAAACATCCTGCCAGGGGCTGGAGGGCTCAGCCCCACCCACCCCGTCTGTATGCAAAGCAGAGCACAGCACAATCCAGGTTAGCTTTTGTTGTGCTGCCTAAGATTCTCCCCAATGGCTTATACTTGGAAATTCAAAACTAAACTTCTCTAGGCTGAGAGAAGCTTTTATGGGACTTCTCTGGCCTCTTCTCTGTACTTCCACATAAGGTTCTCTTTTGAAATTAGCATGAGGTGGGACCATGGAGATGAGAACACAGAACATGGACTCACACAAATAGTGACCTAGGTATTGGTTCTGGATCGGCCCCTCATTATCCTTGTAACCTTTGGCAATTTTGGGTTCTGGTGCTTCAATTTCCTCCTTTGTAAAATAGCTATGTAATACTCACTCTGAAATGTTTCGTGACAGTTTCATGTGGTAATTAATGGAAATGGCACAGTGCAAAGTCTGGCATATAGTAAGTGCTCAACAAATGCTAAAACGTTATATATGACTCCTTTATTATTTTTCTCTTTACTTCAGGTAGCCACAGCCACTCTAATATTTATGGTATACATTCATCATGTATATTATTATTTCCCCTGCATTTTACAATTATAATCGTATTTCCCTCTTCTGATGGGGGACCCATAAATTTTCTATTCAAGCATTTCCTTCCAATATACTTTCATATATTTATTTACCTATATGCAATTCTGAAACAAATATATGGTTTGCAGAGTGGCTACATGACATTTAAATTAAGGCAAATCATATTATGCTTTAAATATTGTTTTCACTTTTTCCCTTATTTTGGGGAACAAACTACATCTATTATATGTGTATTTCATTGCATAATACACTGCATAGTATAAATCTTAGATATTTGTTTTATTTAATTAATTTGCTTTCTTATTAATAGACCATAGATCGTACCCAACTTTCTACTCCCAAATGTGAAAGAGGCAGTGTACAATGGAATACATAGCTCTTTGTGTACTTATAAAAGCTTTACGGCTGCACAATTGGTGCATTTTAGAGTATGGACAAACTAATGGGGCACATGGAACATGACCTTTTTCTCCAAAATGACTTATTATGCTGTCCTGTCATCAGTTCATGACGGTTTCCATTTTGACTTATACTCATAAGCATATGGGATCACTTTGTATAATTATTGCCATTCTGATTGTGTAAAATCCTGTCTTATTACTGTTATAATTTACATTATTCTGACCAGTATGGGGGTGGAGCATCTTTTCCAAGAAAGTAGTCTTTCCATTTTTTCCTCATGTGCTATTCAAGTAATTAGTGCCTTTTTCTTTTGAGTTTCATAGCCTTTCCCTGCTCTTTTGTGGGAATTCTAATTAATTCTTTGTCAGTTATTAATTTGGCAATTATCTTCTCTGAGTTTAGCACCTGTCTGTTCACTTTGTCTATGCTATTTTTGGTTAAACAATTATATTTAATTTTGATGTATTAAAATCCATCAATGTTTTCTTTATGGTTTATGATTTTAGGTTTTAATTTTGGAAATTTTTCCTTAAAGTCATAAAGATATACACGTTTTGAACTTTTATTACTTTATCCTTCCCAATTAGGAATGCCATCCACCTAGAGGTCATCCTTGTATAGGGTGTGATACAGAGTCACACTGACTTTCTACATTGTTAACATCGTCAGCATTGTGCTCCCTGGTTGTGGAAGGAGGTACAGGGCAGACGGAATGGATGTACAGGCTACAGGTAAAGTTTCTTAGTTTGACTTAATCAGCTCTAACTGTAGATCAGTGATGATACCCAGATAGCTTTCATAATCCTGGAGGTGTTTTTATAATTTTTAGTACTTTTATATCCCTTACCCATCAGTTGGATTAAAAGTGCTTTGAACTGAAGCTCAAAAATCTGGTTTGCTGCATCATCCTGGCCGCTAGTTATTTTTTCTTTTCTTTTCCTTTTTTTTTCCCCCTCCCCTCCCCTCCCCTCCCCTCCCCTCCCCTCCCCTCCCCTCCCTCCCTCCCCTCCCCTCCCCTCCCCTCCCCTCCCCTCCCCTTTCCTTTTCTGTGTGTCCTAATTGAAAACACATTTATGATGCAGGATAATGGAGCAGATGAGAACACAGACTTTTAGAATCAGAAAAATAAGGACAAAGATTTTAATTCTGATTCAGTCCCTCATTATTTCTGTAAACTTTGCCAAGTATGTCTCTTAGGCCTCAATTTACTCATCTGCAAAGTAGCCATGAAATTATTATAATGGTTTTGGACAGCTGGATAGGCTTCATTTACTTATGATTGGACTTATACTTTTGTTATCTGGGGCCATATTAGAATTTTTAAAAATTATTATTTGCCTCAGCAGGCACCGCAATGCCTGGTTTACAGTAGGTTCACAAATATTTATTGAATCATAAGGAATAGGCCCAGATTCTAGATTATATTTCACTTTTTAAAATTTCAGATTTTCCATTTAGTACTAAGACCAGTGTACATGCATAAAACCTAAACTATGTATAACAGATACTGTTCCACATTCTTTCCATGATTATTCTCTTCTTAGAACAACCCTCAGACGCAGGTGTCAATAGTAGCTCCATTTGACAAACGAGGAAACTAAGGCAAAGAGCTTAGATAACTTGCCCAAAGTTTCATACCTAGTACATGGCAAAGCCCATAATCTACCTGACGCTTTGGCCCCCAAGTTGTATGTTCACAGTGATGGCATGTGGCTGCATTTTTTAGGGTCTTGAAAACATCTACAAGATTACTGAGAGCCTTTTCATTGAGTTTGGATACCAACTCTGTCTCCCACTAACTATAGGGTCATAAACAGGTGCATCAACATTACTAAGCCTTGGTTTTATTTTCTGCAAAACAGAAAAAGAAATCACCCAGTTTTATGTAGCTCTTGTGAAGGCTAAATAAGATAATCCACAGGAGGCCCTTAGTACAATGCTTGTATTGTAACGTACTAGCATTATTACACCAGCAAAATGCTAGTATTATTACTCTACATACATTTTATTTTGCCTCTCCTTGACAGGGCTAAGTAAACTACTTCACTTTTTGTACTTAAAAATTACAAGGTACATTCAAAATATAGCACAATAAATTAATTACTTTGTAGACATTTCAGATCTGCTAAATGATGTATTTCAAAAAATATTCCTATACCATCATCTCCACTCTGAACATATCGATAACTAATTTGTTGATATGTAAATATATTTGTACCGCTAAAACTTTGTAAAGAAGGGGAGTAAACTAGGTTCTCTTTTTGTGTTTTTCTGCCTCTGACCATCTGCAAGCCTGTAATGTGGACACCCAGATCAGGTGAGTTTGTAAGACATTTCCAGGGTTAAGTAGCACTGGTCGTGGGCTAGTTTTAATTCCGTTTTTATTGTTATAAGAGTAGATCTCAATATCTCTCCATCCTGCCTTTTCTCTTCTTCCCCTCAACCCGGACCAAGGGCATCTTGCCCTCTTTGGAGGCCCAGGCTTCCTGCGACTGGTTTAATGGCTTGGTGCAAGCAAAGAGCAAGTTATTGAATGTGAAGTGTCTGTCAGACACTAAAAGCCTGTGAATTAGTGTTGCCTGCCCCTGCCTGTCAGGCAGCATACTTTTATCAAGAAAATAGCTTATCCTTGTGAAAAGGGCTGACCTGCCACTAATCCGCTCTGCTACACTCAATGTCCTATCTGTCCCATGCAAGCCTTGCTCAGGTCCTGTGCCATAGTTCTGTTCCTCACAAGTGAGAGGAGGTTATGAAAGGGAAGGTTATACTTGATTTTTAAACTGATTTGTAGGAAAGAACATCCTTAGCATGCTTTTACTCAGGAATCGTGACCCTCCCCACCTCTCTGACCTCCTCCCTGCCTCCTTCATCAGCTCTGTGTCAGGACCTTGGCACCTCTGTGTTCTCCCTGGAGGGGCGGAGGAACACATTGGCTGTTATGCTTTGTGACATTCTATCTCCTTGAGATGGGAGGCTCTGCAAGTCATTTGTACTCAAAACTGTGACTTCAGCTCATCGCAGGATGAGATTTTTATTTTGTGTAAAGAAATTTCAGGGATTATTGAGTCCTTCGACAAGGTGCTATTTGGGGAGGAGAATATTGATTATTTGAGGGATGATCAGTTATCACACCATTGCCTGAAATCATGTAAATTGTAGAACAAGAGTTAGTGTTTTCCCAAGCATTATCCTATCATTTTTTCATTGTCATCTCACCCAATCTTTTTGTTTCCTGAGAAAAGCTTGAAAAAATGTGCTCTCTCTATTTTGTAGATTTATAAACTGAAGCTCAGAGAGGTGATGTGACTCGGTTCATGAATGACAGGTGCAAGGACCTGATGCCAAATCTTCAGCTACCCATCCTGGTGCTTTTTGCTTCTCCAGTGTGGCACACTTGACACATGTTTCTGCAAGTGTATGGTCCCTGTGCCCCTGAAGCTTCCTGTGTACCAGACCATTGCTCCAAGGGAAGTAGGAATCAGACCTGCTAGAAACAAATATCTTAAGCTTTCCCTCTGGAGGATGGTTTGTGCTTCTGGAGGCAGGATACCACATTTAAGAATTACCTATTTCCTAAGGAAGATCTCAAGTGTAGATGTTTCTCTTAAGTAGAAGAAACAGTAAGACTAGACATGAAAAAGTGTTATTGCTGGACAAGGTGACGGATTGGTCCATGGAGTTAGAGACCTCTAAAAGCAAAGTGGGCAGAGCCACCCACTCACAAAGGCCTGCAAGGTGCACCTTTAGTATAACAGGGAAGTGATGTAAAGGCAACAAACACCATGCATTGAACTCATGTTATGTTTCAGCAACAGCAAGCTACTCCTTAGTGTTAGGTCACACAGTGATGGCATAAATCCTTTTCACAAGACGCACCCCAGAAAGTCAGCAGGGCACTGAGGGAATCCATTCTAACATGGTCAAAGGCCAAGAGGGAGATTTTACTTCTTCTGATCTGCTTCTGTTACTAATATTAGACAAATGCTGGTAGGGCTGCTACATTTGAAGGGCTGCCAATCTTTGCCCTTTGTCAGAGAATTACTATAGTCTACTTCTCCTGCGTGCAAGAACTTAGCACTGGTTCTCACTCCTATTCAACAACACACTGGATGGACTTCCTGTTTAAAATGCAGACTTGGACCCCATTTCCAGACATTCTATTTCAGTTTTACACTGTATTTTTCACAAGTGGCCCAGGTGATTTTGATGCAGACAGTTCACATTCCACAGACTGAGAAAAAATGCTTTAGTATCTTGACCTTGAATAAAGTGACATATTTTAGTGGCAGGTGGGGAGAAGCTTAGTAAACATATGAAATATTATTATTTATCTAGCAGTTTACGAAGTACTTTTATACACATTATCTCATGTAATGCTCACATCAACTGCGTATGGTATGGTAAAATGGATAGTTTTATCTCTATTTTGTTTTCCCAGTGATAACTCAGAAAGATTAAATATTATGCCCAAAGCTACCCAACCACTGAGGACTGAAGATAAGACAAGAATGCAGGTGTTCTTTCTCTAAAGCCAGTCAGTGGTTCTCAATATTGGTTCTATGTTTAAAGTCACCTAGTGAGCCTTTAAAATATGCTTGTACTCAGGCTTAAACCAAAGCAGAATAACTGGATTAAGAACATGTTTTACTCAAGTTTGATGGTTTCTAAAAATCTTCCTCCAAATGATTTTACAACAGAGGTGAGAACCACTGGAGTTTTGGTGATAGCCCCACCCATGGGGATAATGTGTCCAATATTCCACAGCAGGGATCGCCTCCGAAAGGAGAGGCCAGATGAACAGACCTCAGCTCTGATTAACGCTCAGCATAATGAAGTGACTTGGAGCTCTGCAGACAGTTGTTGACACAGCCCTCCTCTGGGCTCTTTCTGAGAACTTTATTAGCTGTAATTAATGCAGCTGCTTCTCTGAATCAGAGAACTTCCCTGTCTCAGAAAAATTCCCTGCTAGTGAGTAGCAGTGAATATCCCCTTTTCTGGACCTTCTCTCTGTACCTATATAATGACCCCTGCACAGTAGAAGCTGGAGGGGCCTCTATCTTTTCACTTCTTGGGAAATTTGATCATCAGTGGCATTTCTATTCCTTGCCTTCTCTTCCAACCTTGTCAGAACAGAGCCATCATGGTGAAAGGTCCATGTGGCAGTGAGCTGTTCTTTCAACTTTTCTCCATACAAATCTGTCTTTTCTAATTATCAAAACAATATGTGTGAATATTTTAAAATATAGAAAATTCTGCCCTGGCTGGTTTAGCTCAGTGGATCGAGTGCAGGCCTGCCAACCAAAAGATTGTGGTTCAATTCCCAGTCAGGGCACATGCCTGGGTTGCAGGCCAGTTCCCAGCAGGGGACACACACAAGAAGCAACCATACATTGATATTTCTCTCCTTCTCTCTCCTTCCCTTCCCTTCTAAAGATAAGTAAATAAAAATTTAAAAATAATAATAAATAAAAAAATATAAAAAATTCTGACATAGAGAATTAAGGTAAAAATTGCTCCCCATAAACCCATACTTTTATATGTTATATACTGCTATATAAGCAGCCTTTTATAACTCCCTCTCATGGCGTGTATATAAAACAAAGTGCCACAAAGTACTGGTGACAACAGTTTTGATCCTGTCAACACTATGCTAGCCATTTAATCATTGCTCAGAAAACATTTATTGCATTCCTTAATACACATGCATACTTTCCAGTAGC